AAAAGCTGCTGTAACTCCGGAATATTTTTGCATATCACTGACATAAAAATGTTTTTCTGTTTGCTTTTTGATGAACCTCGAAGATATTATGAAATAAAGAAACATATGAATAAATTGTGTAAGGTAAATAAATGAATCAACAATTTATGATTTAATGATCATAAAAGTCATATGGCACATTAAAAAGTCAAACTATTTTTACCTGCATGCCCAAATAAATAAAAAGTAACCTAAAAGTGTCTGTCAACAATAAAATCTGGAAATAAAAGTGTTATTGGCATTATTATGTCATTGTAACTATGAATGAAAATGAACTCCGATAAAAAATATTTATATATTTTAATCATTATGTAAATACTTTGAAATTACTGTTACATTTAAATATTTTTGGGAATTTATTTGCGCAATCATTTAATGTAAACTGTAACTTCTCACCCTCTTTGTCTGTTGCTCAAACCTTTAATTGCATATGCTGATGACTTCAAAATGGTGGATATCTCTGCAGGATTGTGTGCTTGATGTAAAGTAAAGATTATTATGGGACCACTTAAAGTGAAGAGGAACAGTATGGAGGACTCGACACCTACAAGGTCGACAGGATATGAGCCTCGTGGCCCCTTTAGTTGATGCACAGTCATACCAAAATGGTGTTAAGATTCACTTTGCATCGAGTGTTGAGCTTTTGAAACATGTCGAGACTGCCTGGCTCATTAACAAAGGCGACGGAGCGGACCCTTGAACAGGGCCGGTGTCAGAGGAGAGCAATTCCCCTCTGCACCAGAACTGGGGCAGACATTTTGGTTGGTGCTCTGAGCGAAACCAAATCAAGACCCACATAAAATCCCTGATTGAAAGACAAAATATAGTCCAACTAGATACTAGAGAGAGAATGTGGGGCAAATATCCGTGATACTAATCAACGTGACAATTACAAGGCGAGTGCTTTCAAGAGCCTTCCCGCAGTGGTGTAAAGAGCTGTATTACTTTGCCTGTGTCATTGTTTTGTGCTGTTGGCGTGGAAAGCCGACTCCAAGCTCCGAGATCTCTTTGGTGTCGTTCATTATTTCTTTCTTCTGTGGAAATATGGTCTCATTATTCCTCAGCCAATGTCGACCCCGTTGTTACCTGTCAGCGCTTTTTGCTGAGGCCAGCTTTGCGCACTCGGAGCTGTTAAACACTAATGGACAATTCCTCTTCCCTTTGTGCTCAACATGCCATCTGATGTGCCATTTTGACTGACAGAGGAATGGAGGGCCAATTTGCAAATGCTGACTTCCGGAGCATCCAGTGTGGAAAGACATTCATCAAAAGCTTCCTGCCCTTTTTCCTGTCTCCTTGTCATATTATCTGTACGCCGCTGTCAGGGGCGCCATGGAGTTGATCACACTTTATTTCTAAGGCCTGCATGAGTAGATCACATGAGTGATGTAAAGTATGGGTGGACAATTAAGGTCCACTTCCTCTTCTGTCTGTGGGTGTGAAATTAGCAGCGAAGCTCAGTAGTAAAAGTATAAATGAAGCTGGAATCATTTTTGAAGTGACTGAATGGTGCAAAGAGTGCAGACACATGTGAGTTTTAATGACCCGCTCAAGAATTTATAATGTCTGCACTGAGGTTCCCAACTGTTTTGGTAAAAAGGTGACCCTTTTAATATAAAAATGTGAGTACTTCAAGCAAGAAAAGACAGATTGTGTACTTCCTCTCATTGTTTTAATAATTAGAGACTTGAAGAGGTAAAACTGTCCAATATTTTACAAGAAAGAAGATAAATGTCTTCGGCATCGTCATCTTATATATATATATATATATATATATAAAACATATGATCATTTCGTCATTGTTATCGTCAAGCTTGGAATTGTAATCTTCATCGGCGTCATCATCGACATCATCGCCATCTCCAGTAAAACGCAGAATTCTAGGCTTTTTTAAAACCATCAGACTGCTCTGGTAACTTAATTCACCTTGTGTTACAAAATAAGCTCAGCTCATGTTCCACTCAGTAGCTTTTCTGAGCTTTTAACATCTCATAGTCTTCATCAGCAAATGGACCTGGGGTCGTATGATAACAGGTGGTTTTATATGCGGGGATTGTAACATCTGTCTCTCTTTAAACATGATCTTTGGCTTCAGATGTGATATTATAATATCTACTATATATCTATATGTATCTTGTTTATTGAAGCAACAGAAAACTTTCTAAAAAATATGGAAGCCCATGTATGCCAGGAGAAATAAAAAAGATGTAAAGTCAGGGATAAAAATAAAAAACACTCATTGAATGAAAATACTGACATATCAAGTGATACATTTTGACTCTATAAGTTGAACATATGTGATGCTAGGTCATGATTTTGAGAAAGTAAATTGATATGTCAAAAGTTAGGGGTGCACTAGTGGTCTAGGGGTCTCAAACTGTCTATAGTTTATAAGATACCAAAGATGTCAGGGTGAATTTTGGGGAACTGTGTCTAAAATGATGCACAAGACAAAATGTCCAGTGTTAGAAGAGAAAAGATATATATAGAAAAACTAAATACAGAATATGTATTTGTTCTTATTATTTATTTATTAAATGATTTGAGAAGCTACAGACAGAATAATTTCTTAGTTTTACACAAGAATAATTTAAGTTTTCTTCATATCTTTATAAATATGGCACAGGACATACTGTGGGTTTTGTTTGAATATAAACCTCAAATGACTGCAAGGGATTAAAGCTGAAAAGATTTGCAAGCAAACATTGTCCAGGAGGAAATGTGTAGACTGTCTTTAAAACTGCACTATGCCTCCAATCAGGCATGGTGCCTTAAAACTTAAAGCCCAGCTTTGCTGACTCCAAATGTTGTTTTTTTTTGTTGTTGTTTTTTTTTCTTTAACAATCTTAATATCTCAAGTTTGACCAGCTAATCCCTTGGATTACTTTACTGGTGACAACTTTGTTGAGGTAACTGTTGTTTCAAGGTTCACCATTTTAAAACGTTTTCATAGGAATTTGCACTGTAAAAGCAAACAGCATATCTTAAGATAACTTAATCCTAAAGTAAAGAGTACGTAGTCAATCAATTTCCTCAAACAGTTTGAGTTGAACTAACTCATCAGGTTTTGCATTGTGCTTGGGTAAGCTACAAAACAAAAAGATCACAGTCCTGCTGACTTATATAAGGAATTCGTTGATAAAGACGGGTGGTTCGTGGTTATTTAGGAAAAGTGTCATAACTTCAGTGTAGTTAAATATTGCAGAGGCCTCCAAAGAATATAATCACCTTGCCCCACTGGGGGCTACATGGAACCTCTCTGCTATAAAAGGTAATAACAGCAGACCTTGGTCAAACAGCATTCACCTTGATCAAATAGCACTCAAGCTGGCTAAGACAAATAAATCTTGGCAGTGGTTTTAGTCTGCACACCAGATGGATGAGCTTTGACACGCCGGATAATAACTGAGTGAATGAGGACAGTTCAGGCAATGACAGCAAAGTATTTGAAAGTCAGTTTGATACGATTTCCTTTTGCTGTCAAATCACCTGTCTGGGATGTTTTAATGTGGTCATTTTCACCATCTGGTAGAACCAGATTTTACCAGATTGAAACACATTTGTGAATACGATTAAATCTCCTCTGCTCCCATTTTTTCTCCTTGTAATGCCTTTGTGGGGATGGACTGTTGCACTCTCGATAAATTAATCTATAAATTAATTGAATGTAGGTTCAAATCAGATGTTAATGGTTGATGAAACAAGAGTTTAATGTGCTTCTCAAAGAAACCCAACCCGGTGGAAGAAAATATCACCATAATTCTAAGAATAAAATGAAGTCTAAGAATAAAGCTTTAATTTTTGGATTAACGTTTCACACATTAGAAAATATCAGAATGACGTCACAAATCAACATAAAGTCAAATTACATTAACAAAAGCTAAAGTCTGAGGTATAAGTCTGAATTTAGACAATAAAGTCATAATTGCTATAGTGAAGTGAATCCTGAGAGTAAAGTTGGACCTTTTAGATAAAGGTTGAACATCTGAGAATAAAGTTATGTTTATACTAAAGTCGGAATTACAGTAAGTCATCATTCTGAGACTAAAGTAAATTCTGAGACAAAAGGTTTGTGATGTTAGATTATCAGAGGGTCGGGCAGCCTATAGCTCACCTGGTACCGAGGCCGAGTTCTTTCAGAGCATGGGCCTCTGTTGCATGTCATGTCAGATAAAGGCAAAAAGCTTTTTTTTTTTTTTTTTGAAAGAAAATTGGAGCACTTAACTCATGATTTTAGAGTATCTCAAGTTGCAAAAGATCTCTGACAAAAGAAAATGCCATATAAGTCAAGTTTCATAAAAAATCTAAGAGCAAATTCAGGAAAAAAAAAGTCAAAACTCTGTTCAACTATGATCAATGTCAGGATTTGACAGTAAAAATTCTGAGATTAAGAGACAGAATTTTCCCCCATAAAACACTTTAAATACATCCAGCAACTGGGTTTCCTTTAAAAGTCAGAATAGAAATTTCCCACACGCTCAAAGACAGCAACCAAAACCTTCCAGCTTCCTCCTGCACTGCATGGCATTTGATTTATAATTCTAAAGTAAACCAGCTCGGGCATGTTTTCACATTTGCCTGCAAACACACACACACACACACACACACACACGCACACACACACACACACACACAGGGCACCGTGCGCACTGCAACACAGACTTGTGAGTGGATGCAGCTTGTGTGTGCACTGATGCGTGAGTGTGCACCAACAGCAGCGCCTCGCCTCTTACACACCATTTCTGAAACAGTTATCTTTCTGTTGTTGATTTTTTTTTTTGATTTTTCTTCACCTCCGCGAGTTATCGAGTAAAGCCTGGAGGCAAATGACCAATATCGGGGGAGGGGGGGTGGAGGTGCCGATTAATAATTAACTAAGGTACCTGAATCGGTGACGTGGGGGGAGAGAGAGAGAGAGAGAGAGAGAGAGAGAGAGAGAGAGAGAGAGAGAGAGAGAGAGAGAGAGGCGGGCCGGAGAGGAGAGCGAGGTCTTGCCTCTTGTCTTGCTGAGGCTCTTTGATTCAGTGGCAGTGGCTGAGACAACCCCGTTACCGGCCACCGTTAACCCGGTAAGTCCTCCTCATCATCTTCTCTCTCTCTCACTCTGTCTTCATTTTTTTTTTTAAATCTCTCATTAGAAAATGAATATTAATGCTCCACTCAGGAAGTCGGATGAAAGGATGAAAGAAAGTTCGTGCGTAAAATAAATGCGAAGGAGGCGAAAAAACGCTCCACAGAGGCACATTTCTAATCCTGTGCAGTTCCTGAACACGGATTCTATGTGTTGTGTAGTTAAATAACCCGGTGTTAGTGGCTTTAAGGTAAATTAGAAAAGAAAAGGGTGTAACATTTCCACTTTTTGTGCGCGCTGACTCCAAACAGCCAAATGGAAACTTGGGCGCTGTCCGTGGTGCTGAAAGTGTTCGCAGAGTCCTTTTATGGATCCAAACTCTTCTTTCTATAAAACCTGCTTATTGCTTAAGTTTATAATGGATACATGGCCACACATAAAGTCCTATTTCACCAACTAAATCGCTCTTTAAATGCCTCTCTTCTCCACAGTGTAACTACCAGCTTCCTCATACTCAAGATCAGCAGCTTGTGGTGAAGACAAGACAGATTTCCCTGGAGGACATCGGGTCTTTATCGCGTCTCTGCAGCCGAAATCAAAGAGGACATTTGGCCCAAAACGAACTTTTACAAGAAAAAAAGGCTGCATACTGGATGACAACCAAGTCAGAAGATGCACTGTGTGTGTGCTGAGCGCAAAGTCTGCCAGTCAAAGTCCGTCAGCGAGAGTTTGGCACATAAAGGAGTACCTGCGATGAAGAAACCCGCAAGAAGCTCCACTCGGTAAGAAGTGGAAGAGTGACATTCAGAGAGAAGGATCAGACGGAAGAGAGTGGAGGCCGAAGAACAAACAACCAGCGCGTCCTCAAATGATGGGGATAAAGCACCTTCTGCTTCTTTTGATTTACTTAGACCCGCTGAATGTCCTGTGCGCCGCCACCACCAATAAAAGAAACAAAATCACGCCGAGGAGGAACCCAAAGGTGAAGGAGGTCAACGGCAGCACCACTGCGGTCCCGTTGGCCGCGGTCGTCCCGGGGAAGATCACCCAGGTCCAGGCTCCCTCGGTCCAGCACGACACCTGCCTGGGCTACTACGACGTGAGCGGGCAGTACGACAAAGAGTTCTCCTGCAACAACACCGACCACCGCTTCTGCTGCGGCAGCTGCTTCCTGCGCTTCTGCTGCGCGGACCGGGGGAAGCGGCTGGAGCAGAAGATCTGCACCAACTACAACACTCCGGACTGGATCAAAACCCAGCCCCCTTCACCGGCGCCAACAGGCGATACGTACGACCCGGCGCTGGACCAGACCAACACCACGGTGTACATCACCTGCGGGGTCGTAGCGCTCATCATCGCCATTGGGATTTCTGCTAAAGTTGCCTATGATAAAGCCACCAAGCCGCCTCAGGAAATGAATGTGCACAGGTAAGAGTTCCCTTAAATACTCATTTTCTCAGATGATGAGCTGAAAAGGCTGAAATAACTATTATAAAATGTTTTCAGAGCTTCCGAGCTTTAAGTGGGCAAACAGGATTTAGGGCTATATCCACTCATACATTCCCGGGGCTGTGTTTCTAGTGTGCTCATTGCATTACTGGCTTATATTTTAGTGAGAAAATGTGTTGAATTAATCTTCGGTTTAATCAGAATGCTATAAACTATAGAAAAAGACCTCATATTGTCACATAAAACTGCTTAAATCTACAGTTTGAGCCCAAAATGAGAGTTGAACATATTTTTCTCTGTACTGTAAAAACATGACTGTCATTTCTCTCCTATATCCTCAAAGTGAAAATCTATCTAGTGACTTACAGCAGCCTACAGAGCTTACAACCTCAATATCACAGGTTCAATCCCGCTCATGCCCTTTAACACATGCCATTACTCTCCTCCCCAGAGTCTCCCTGTCAAAAAATGTCAAGTCTGTATACCTTTCTATGGTACACATCCCATTCTGTGTCAGTCCCAGGAGGGGGAGCGGGTGGTATTCTGTGTCTGCTCAACCCCAGAGGGATAAAGTAAATGCCACTGAAAGCCATTGTGAGTGATCACGTTCACCCTGATGGGAGTGGTCTCTTCTATAATGACAATATCTGTAAATCCTCAAGGCACCAATAGTGGTCACTGAATTGCTCGATGAGCGTGAAAGCAGACATAAAAACACATCCCATAGTCATTTCGGTCACAAACTGCTGTGTAGGGACGCCGGGAACAGACGTAAAACAAAATTTTTCTCACCATCATCAAAACACCAAACGATTTCTTAATGTTGGCAATTTTCTTTGTAATACTTTCACACAAGGAACTGCTGTTATCTGTCCTGAAACAAACCTCCCAGAGAGGCTCAAGAGATTTACGCTGCATCTCCTTTGTCGCCCCAAAACCAACTCAAAACGACCAACTTATTGGCATAATTGGGCATTTAAAAGACTGATGGTCTCTTGATGAGCTCCATTTTAGTGTAGAGTAGGTCACATAATACAAATGGTGGCAGGAGATTTTTAGTTTTTCTCAGAGTGAGATGAGCTGGGTGGTTTTAAACGTCAAGTGCATCCAGACAGCTTACGTACAATTTGGTTTCAAATCGTAGGTTTTTCTTAGTAACGTTAAATATTCACCACAATCAAAGCTAAAAGTCCTGAGATTATCTGAGTTTTTGAGTTTTCAGCTCTTAATAAAGGCTTCTTGAGGACGGTGTGGCTGTGGTTTGATCAGATGTGACTGACAGTAAGCTGGCTACATAAGCAAACAACCTCATAATGGTGCTAAACACTGATTGGCCCACAGAAGTACGTGACATCACCTCTTTCCAGCTGAGCCCCGCCCACATCGAACCAGCAAGATAAGCACACAGAAATACGCAAGAAATCTGTCGTATGACGAACTGGTTGAATTTGGCAGATCATTGTGTGTTAATGCGCCGTTGTACCGCCTGAGGAGCTGATTGAGAGAATAAGTTCTCAACAGGGCCTTTAAAGGTGCATAAATCCAGACAGAAAATGTATCTGCAACTATTTTGTATTGATAAGGTGTCATTTTACAACAAGAAATGCCCAATGTTTAGTGGTTCTACTTCTAAAATAGGAGGATTTGATGCTTCTCTATCAGCAAACTGAACTAATCTTTGGGTTTTCGGACCTAAAGCCAGCAATTTAAAGATGTCAGCTTGTGCTGTAGGAGTCTGTTATTGGCATTTTTTTTGCTGGTTTCCTATATCTTATAGAGGAAATGATTAATTGATAATAAAGATAATCATTAGTTACAACCTTGCCTGTAACACTCCTGGCGTTGTAACACTCCAAGTTAGTCTATTGAGGCTCTGTGGGAGGTCTGTTTCAGGACACAAGTGCAGATAACAGCAGTTCTGTGTATGAAAGCATTACAAAATTGATTTATTGTGTGGAAAAGCCTGAGGGAAGGTATGTTTTTTATTTTTTTTTACCATTATTTTGTACATTTATGAAGGATTGACACATGTTCGGGGTGGCTCGGTGGTCAGGATGCTTGTTTTCGTCCAGTTCACTCGGATTCCCTCCCACAGTTCAAAGACATACTGGAATATAAATGTCTTTTGTGTGATGCATGCTGGGATAACTGTCCATCCTCACTGACGCAGGTACAGAAAATGTATAAAAGGATAAATGGGTTTTTAATTGAGGTAGGGACTAAATAAAATTGCATGTTTTCTACCCACTGGTGAAGAACAAATGATAGTCACTTAGTCACTGCTCTTATACAAGAGTTACTTGAGTCACCTGCCTTTCTTCAGAGTCCATTTTGGACGGAGCAGAGGGGGACATCTAGCATTGATTTGGAGATATGAAGATAATTGAGCATTGTTATGCCTTGTTCATTAAACTTTGGTGCCTGCTGCTTTGAAAATGTCAAAGGAGATTACTCAGCTTTCTTGTTCAGAGAAACACAGTGACACATTCCTGATAAAAAAGTCAACATTTTAGCCCTGACAACAACACAAAGGAGCTCTTTCACTTGATCAGTTATAGATGCAATTTAAGCTCCAGTGATTGCCGTAAGTGTCTTTTCAAAAGTTGGCACAGTCAGCTTTTAATATCCACATGGACTCATGAGACTCCATAATACAGTGTTTTATTTGAAACAACTGACACAAAAAAACACAACAAAGTTCATGATGCAGCACTTTTTCCATCTCTGCTCTGAGAAATGAAGAGATGTTGAAGTTAATGTCTTCTTACTGCACTTCTATCCTAGCCATGGGGCGTACTTTCAAGTGGATCTGCTTAATGCCACCACTTCAATATGAGCAGTGGCCATGAGAGTTTAGAGTGAGGTCGATTAAATGAGGAGGCATGGCTTGCTGGGTGTTCAATAGTGCTTTTTTGTAATTCTTTTTATGATTTGTTTATTTTCACCGACCATTTGGCACACGGAGCTGTCGTAATGATGTCTGCTGGAATAGACCTCAGAGGCTGGCAGCAGACATTCATGCTGACAGCCGTGACCAAAAAGAAGTGGTGGAACATGGGATTAGCTTTATATTTGGCAAGGGTCTGCTCCTAAAAAGTGGGAGCTTCTCTGTTAATTTCCAGAGCTTCTCTAATGTAATTTAGACTCCTACCTCTTCAACTGAGGGAGGACTGTGAGCAGAATACTGAGCTGTTGGCAGACCTTTGCTGTTTGGTCTGTGACCTTCACCGAAACACAAGAAATGCCGAGTGAGAGCTAAAGCCAGTGATTTGAACAGATTTTATTGATCACCTTCTGCAAACCAAGATGCAATTTATGCCGGGCTAGCTGGTGAGAATAATGCTTTGTTCTCCAATTGCAGGACTGAGAAACTGAGTTAAATGACAAGACGACTGCGAATTGGCAAAAATAGAAGCAGCATAAGTGAAAGTTGAATTTAAAAGGCACAGAAAAAGCCCAAAGTTTAATAAGAAGTCTGCCCTTAGGATTTAGAGCCAATATCAACCGAGTTTATCACAAGACAGAAATACTGGTATCAGCAAATATGTTGGACTATAAAGACCAGAACAGATTTCAGTACAGCAGCACCAAAGATATATTCTAGGTCATCGTCGTCATTAGTTTCTCCACTAGGGAACGATGACGAGCGATGACAGTTTAGTTTAGTTTTGCTTAGTTTTTTTGATTAGACTGATCTCTCTGTTCTCCTACACCATCTAGAAAGATGGCCTCATCTTAAAGGATAAGGCTGGTGGTGTTCTATATTTTTGTTACTGTCAATAAATCCCTTGAAAAGAACTCAACCAACAAAGTGTGAGTCTTTCAATACTTTCTGAATTCCAATGCCGTCTGCTGCCCCCAGTTGATTGGTTCCTATTGAAGATTGAAATCTTTAAAAATGGGTCACAAATATATATTTTTATTTTTTTATTTTCAGTTATTTCTTTAAACAAATGGACACTGTAGTTTAAGGCAAGGTAACAAAAACACATTCCCATAAACATTATTTTCCATTTCTGCCAATATATCCTCCTTAAATGTTACACACTGGACCTTTTTAAACAGTTATGTTCATACCTCTCTTACAGAACCTTTTGTTGTAATAGCAGATTCCTGTTCCACTGTAAATCTGTTCAATTGTGGCGTTCCCCAAGGGTCCATTCTTGGCCCACTGTTGCTTTCAGTTCACATCCTCAGCTATTTTTTACCGCTTTGTTTCCACATTGATTTTAAAATTGTATTGCTGAATTTCAAGGCATTAAATAGATCACAGATTTGCTGACTCCTTATGTGCCTATGCATTACTTTATATCAGTAGATAGGGCTCTGCTTATTTGTAGGCTCTGTTCATGAAGGAGGGGGACCAGACCTTTGCAATTAGAGCCTCCAGATTAGGAATACTTCACAGGCAATGTCTTCATCTTTTTCATTAAACTTTCTTCTTAAAACATTATCCTTTCATACTTTAAATGTTTTCTTCAAATAAATGTAACAAAAGTGCTATAAAATAAAGTTAATTGTATAATTGTAAGCAAATTTTTCAACTGAAAAGTATCCAGTACAGTACGTGTCTTCACCTTTTGTCACAATTTGCACAATTCTTTACTAGCCAACTTTAAGCAATCCTTATCAAAAAGGTTTCAGGATTTACAGTATAGTGTGTTAAAAAGAGAATTGGCCAATATAAACAGATTTTTAAAACTCTCAAACACTAATTGACCTTAAAAATGCAGCATCAATCGGGCTCTGTTAGGATTATAATCAGTCACTGCATTTCTGACTAATGCTCCCACTGTTTTGATTTGACTTGACAACAATCAACAGTCTTTTGTATGTGCCAAATGTTATTCATTCTTATCCACACATATGTTAAAAGTTGGGCCTGTTCCTTCAAACTATACTGTAGCTCCTGCTGCACACGACATAGCAGCCAACTGGGACAATGCAAAATCAGGTCGCCTCTGTCTGCGAAAAAGAAACGGTTAAAGTGTGCTCATCCTGGAAGGGAAATGCTATTAATATACTGTATATCTCCCAAAGTCACAGAGTTATGGAAAAGTGGACTGTGTGGTTGCTTTAGGTTGACATTGACACAGTTAAATTGCCCTTTCATTTCCTTTAAGAAAGCACAGAGCCGGCACTCCATCTCACAGACTGTCAGTATGCCTACAAAAGTTGGAATTGGTGTTTGTGAAATATTGCTTTTATTTTGTGGCTTCAAAGAAGAGACACTGACTGAACTCTTAATAAACAGGCCTTGAGTTGAGCTTGAGTCCGGCGCATATAATAGGACTTGTATGTACCTTGTGTACCATGCTATTGAAACTCCCTATCTCCCTTGTGACTCTGGGTGTAATTAGGATTTCCTCTCTGCCTCACTCCAAACCTCTATGATTCAAATTGGAGCTGTAGCTAAATAAATCAGGAAGACCTTAAGGGGGATGGCAAGGAGAAAAAAAAGGAAATGTTGGTAATTGGGAAAGAGAAACATTTCAGTTTAAACATTTTTTTTCACTTGTGTAATTTCTATTCAGAGCCCTGGCAGACATTCTGAGGCAACAAGGACCAGTTCCAGTATCTCAGTATGAACATGAAAACATTGCAGCGATTGATGGGTCGCCCAAAGACGAGACGCCGGTCAGAACCTCGAAGAATCATTACACACCTGTTCACACCAAGGCAGCAAACCACGGTAGGTGACAATACTCTGCTTTTATACAGATGAATAGCTCCGACTGTGAACTAGAGTGTGTTTGAAGGCCAAACATCTTGAGTCTTATGTGTCATTTTCACTGCATGTAAATTAAAAAAACATCCAACTACAACTGTGTAAAGCTTCAGTGTTGTAAAGAAAGAACCCATTCGCTTTCCTAAATCTGCCACAACATCCTGTGATTGACATCCACTGAAATGGATGGACGGGCTGTGAATCTTAAGCTTTCCCTCTCAATCTTTCTTAAAAGGAAACATATAAAAGATATATATAGCGAATTTAATGCAAGGCCCTGGCTGAGTTCTCATCTCCCTCATGCTGCAGTCCCATAAGCCTACTCAGCATTGGCTCAAAATTGAGATGCAAATTATCATCTTCTGCGGGAGACGCAAGCTTTTTGTCCAGAGATAATTCTGTCGTGCAATGCTGTTCCTCCTACTTTTATCCGGTTGGTCTCCAGATCCCTGCTCCAGGGATGAGCTCGTTTGCTAAGTGCCCTAGTATGGTGTCCCAGATTCAACAGTGTTATGTTTCACTCTCATGTCACCCTGCCTCCACCCTTTTCTCCAACACCACCACCCAACATGGAGGGGATGTGTCAGAGGAGAGCTGATACAGACTGTTCTGAACTGCAGGATGTGAGCTGCTCTCCTTCCTTCCTGCTTCCTTCACATTTTTGCTGCAGAATGACTATTTAAATGGTATATAAGTTCAAAGAAAAGTAGATTACACCATGCATGGACACCAATCCAGGTGGTCCTAAATTATCTTTGTCATACGTCTGCAGTATTTAAAGGATCATTTTCATACAAATGATGTCTCTATTTGTACTATCTATAAGTAACTCTCGAGACTCAACTTTGAACGTTTCAAAACATCAACCAAGAGCTAGGAGGAAATTTTATGATTTTGGGGTGCACATGGATGTTACAACCAAAGTCCACAATAGATTTATGAAAGTTATCCATCACTTTAAATAGTAATTCCTCTTAAAATGACTATTTTTGATGGAGATGGGGGAAGTTTATTAAACAATTGTTCGGAATGAGAAAAAGAATGTAGCCGGAGAACAGACGAGAAAATAGTGCCACAGAGACTGGATTATCAACTGGGCAAAATGGGAAACTGCCCCAGGGCCCCAAACCTTCATGCAAGCATTCCAGGTTCACTGTGTGGTAATAAGTGGTTGATAATTTTATTTAGTGCAAATTTCCTCCTGCATGCACCAGTAAAGCACAATATGAACCAAAACTATAGGAACCTTATGAAAAGCAACACCTGCAGCATTATTACTTGTTGCTAAGGCCCCATCTCTTTGGGTAGAGTGGCCTTGAGTTATATTTTCTCTAAAGACTATTTTGCTAGTATATATTGTGATTACTAGTAGGAGAAATGAAGGCGTCATTAGCCCTGAACCCCACCTAAAGGAACTTCAAAGACGATGTCACCGTGCTGGCCAAGCTGATCGACAGCTGATCCTTTGAAAAAACAACACACGAACAACAAAGCGGTGATCGCACACACAAAAACAATGCAACCTGAACCGTGAATCTCTGAAAAATACAGTATGCAGCATGACATGACGTCACACGCTTTCTCATTCAACTGAATGGCCTCGTAGGTCTTTGTAAATGGCACTTCAAGACCAATTAAAAAATTTAACAGTCAAAGCTAATAAAGTGCCAATTGCTGTGCACTCAAACTTACCACAGTTCACGTTGTAGGCTACAATGCCTCTGTTTGTGAGTGCAAACACAGAGCAAAGATTATTCCTCTGTGTGATTCACAAAGCCACACATTGTTATTTTGTTCATTCTATGATAACGCCCACAGAAAAGATGTCTTAATTGTCCAACCGTGTGCATATCAGCCTCCTATTGTTTGCTGGGTGAACAGTACCAGGATGTCACATTGCTGGGGTGAATGAGAGAAGAAGGCTTCAGAGAGGAGGGTGGAGAGTGTCCAAGCAGGGATGGAGGCACTCCAGGGAAGACGTGACTCAGATTGTATGACAAATTTATGACAAGAGTGAACTTAAAAAAAGGAGGACTCAGTGTAGTGTTTTTTCAGTTTAGAAATGGTCAAAGCTCATTATATTTCTAATGCAACTTCTGGATATTCACTTCTCTTAGTTGATTTCAGTGTTAATACTGATATTTCCAGTATTAATGCTTTGCATACATATTACTACGACAACATGTGAATGTGTGACTGCATGTGTGCCCGCTGTGGTTTTGTGTGAAATCTGTAATCAGGCAAGCCATTTTGCTTTTGTTTTGGATATTTAGTCTGGTTTTCACTTCTACTGGTTAAGGGTTAAAACGTAGTTGATAGGGTTAATTAGATTTAGGTTACTCAAAGCTGACGTGTTAAATAAAGACATTTTTTTAAAAGAATTATTACAGAAAGTTACAATATGCAGATGACCTCTGTTTTTATGAAAGTTAAGGTGGCCAGTAAAATTGCACAATTTTGACCTTTAAAGATTCTTGTGTCCTTTTTCTACCTTATTGGGGCACTGGTATTGAAAAGTCTTTATTTACATAAGACTTTATTTATCTGAATAAATGTAAGCTAGATAGTTGACCTTTTAGTAAAAACAGGCATGACTTTTTGTAAGGTTAATTCATGGTTTCAAGCCTTCAGTGTTTAACTTGCCTTTGAGGCATTCAATAAATAAAGGTTTATTCCCAATCAATACTGCATGTTCATGTCCTCTTATGAAAGGTGCAGTTCACCTATCTGGCAAAAGTGTGTGTTTTTCTTACAAATTCTGATTTACACAATTCTTTGACCTCATAATGTTTCCCAATTGCGGTCAAGGATAAATAGTTGGAAAAAGAAAATTGCCCACTTCAGGAAGATGGCCTTTATGAGGGCAGCCAGCAGCTGCAGCAATTCTTTGGTCTGAAAACACCTCCTGGGTCAGATCTGAGTTAATGGGTGAAGTGAATAAAGAAAGATTTGAATAGATTTTTGTGGGACTGATGTAACAGCATAAAAGAATAATATAATATAATATGAACTGATGCTGTCAGATGCCACTCTCAATTGATGCTGTCCTAAACACCATGTAGCTCATTCCCTCTTTTCAATCCTTTTTATCACTCATTTTTATATAGTGATAAAAACTGCTTTTAAAAGAATAATTACAGTTAAGCCAAAGAGAGCCATTTTATGGCATTTTTACCAGAAAGTAGAGTATCAGCGCAACAATAAAAAGAGGCTGATGATACTCAGCAATGGTGGATTTCTGGATTTGAACTCAAAACATCTGCAGTATATGATGTGAACTCATCCCACTGGTTGTTCCAGGAGACGTATTATACCTAGATGTGATACTGATGAAGTGTGTCTTGCGGTGTGGATAGCACTTCTCTTCTCAGAATTGTCCTAGAGTGAGCATTATCACTTCAATTTCCCAGAGTTTTGTTCTGTTCTCTCATTTTGTGCTCTAAAGTTTCTATGGTGCTGTGAAAATAGGCGACAAATGTCTTCCACACTTTGCAGACAAAGAATTGGATCATCCCTGTACGACACTCACAGCAACTGGGCTCATTTTGAGCTTTATAACTGCAGAAGTCGATTATAAAATGACAAGAGACCGACTTAGAAGTGTTATTTTCAAAGGATGATGTCATGTTGCTGATGATAATGAGTCTGCCTGTAGAGTAACAGTTAGAGGCTTTTTGTGTGTTTAAGCTGTTATAACCATTTACAGTGCGTAAACTGCCCCCATTGTTTTGACAGACTTACACTACCTGGACAAAAGTATGTGAACACCCAAACATTATACCCATACGTGAGCTCGTTTAACATGCCATTATAAAACCATTCATCTGCTGCAGCCTCCTCTCTTTTGGGAAAACTTTCCACCAGACCTTTGTACCTGGCTGCAGGGATTTGCTCCCATTCAGCCACAAGAGCATTAGTGAAGTCCAACATTGATTTTGGGAGATAAGGTCTGGCTCAGGGGGAGGTAAGGCCCGGCTCGCAGTCAGCGTTCCAGTTCATTGCAAAGGTGTAGGATGGGGTTGAGGTCAGGGCTCTCTGCAGGCCAGTGAAAAAAGAAAATTAACAAACACAAACTGTTGCCACAAAGTTGGACAAACACGAAAGTATGATATATTATTGTACAGCCTACAATAATATTTAATATAGCATTGGAATAGTTCCACATTTTTGGCAATATATTTATTTACTCCCTTTCCCAGAGTTAGATGAAAAGATCAATACCACTTTCATGTCTACACGGCTACAGACAGGAGTACCAAAATCTGCCCACACATCTAAAACTCACTAATGAACATGTTGCTCCTTTATCATCTGTTCAAATGTGCTGGAGCAGTCACTCCTAGGAGTCTTGTAATCACTGTGAAGTTGCCAGGCAACCAACAGGGACTACATAAAGTCACTGCCTCTGTCCTAGAAATAGTCCCACACATAGTCCCTGTAAAACCATAATGTGTTGTTTTAACACTTCTTACAGTTTTTATACGCATTAAACAGTCAAGATATAACGTGTTGATTTGTGGGCTTTACTGTGTATTAAGTAAGAATGACCCCCCCCTATCCAATAGGGTTAGTTTCACTCCTTATGGATCATGAAAAGCCTTCAGTGCCGTTCTTTGCTCTTCTTCCAGAGAAGAAATACTCTCCAGTTCTGATATAACTGATGCTAGCAACATCCAACCTATATGGGAACCGCCATTCTTGTTTAACAAATAGTATCTTCTCATTGCGTCACACCTAGCGCCCACCCCCCGGTAGCTGCCAGTACTTCCTCAAAGCACACTGACTGTTTCGATGCCGGCCAGCTGGACCACAAATGCATAAATTGAAGCCTTGTAAGATTAGAATTAAGCTAACTTTTTTTTCTGCAAATGAAGACTGTGAAATGTGGTTGAAAGCCCTGCAAAAGTATACCTAGCTGACCTTTTGTTAACAGTTAACAGCAACAGTAATTCAAGATAAACCTTTCGTGTTTACATGACCCCCTTTGCCTATCCTGCATGACTGGAGTGAGAAAATATGCACCCTTGAGTTTGTATTTGATAACTGTTTACATTTCCCTAAAGGTCAATTCAAATATTACTTTGTAAATTTCACTTTTATGTGAAGATTTAAGTTTTTATCTCTGAAATAAATCACTTCGCCCTTCATTCATGAAAAACTTTAATATAGTGGCAGTTCTCTAAAAGAAAGGTTAGATCTCATTCCATTATACAGTGTAATTTTGAGGAACATTTCCAGAGATAATAAAGGGCTATAGGTTTGTAATGCCACATGGGAGCAATTTATATCACAGTCAGCATCTCCGGCTACCTGATTTCAGCTCCATGGTGGCGTCCTTGGAGCATGTGGAGGTTATGAATCATCAGCACTTCACCCTGGGAGACATCCCATAGATATACTGTATTATATCATCTACATAGATACAGCACTGTGCTGTTAAAAACTACTAGATGCAAAGAAATCTGTGAACTGCTTTTCTCTGGATATGTACTGATTTCTTCGAAGGTCCCAAATTAACAGAGATGGTCAGAGTGTGTCAGTAATCAGTTAACAGTCCTCTGGGTTTGATAAAAAGAAACAAATGAGCTGTGTTGCTGAGGCTTGAATGCCAAACTTTGGTGTGATGAAGACCAGGCCTTATGGTCCCAGGTGTTTCTTCTCATTATGATAATTTGAAATGCTGTTCGATCTTGGCTTCCCAAGGCCCAAAGGTCTGAGTGATGTTATTGACTTTGAAGTGGTTCCTTTGAGAAAGAGGCATTTAACTGTTCACTAGTTAATATAGAGAGGGGGCTAACAGAAAGGAAGAGAACGAGGAAGAGAGGTTTGATAAACCAACTCTCCAGATTTGGGATTTTTTCATCAATACTACATTGAATCTTGTTCTTTGTAAGACTTGTCTTTGATTGACACGACAATTTAATGTTGTCAAGGTCCTAGCAGGGACCTTGTCTTGCTTCTTTGTGTTCAGGCCGCACTCTCAATTACAGAACTGGTTCAGAGCAGAGTCAACAGTGATGTGGTACAAATTGCATTACGGGGGATCTTTAACACAGGTAAAGCCAAGAGGGTGAGGTGTGCTGAAGGAGAGAGCTCAAATCTATTCTAAAATTAAATGCATCAAACCCCAATCTTCTTGCCTCCGAGGAGCAAAAAGCACTCCAATTTTATTTTCCAATTAAATTTAATATTTCACTTACTGTAGAAAAGGAGAATGATGATAAATGGATGATATGAAAGCCCTGAAACCTGCAGATTGCATCTCTGGCATTCTTGAGCGTTACATATTGACGAGCTGATGATCCCACCTGAGAGTCACTTTTGTCAGTTATGCCATTTTATGCCTGTTTAGTATTCTTGTCACCTGTGCCTACTCTTTTAGAAGACAGCCAATGACTGGGGAATTGAATAAAGCTACTCCTCCGTATTAAGGCCAAGTCACACTAGCATTTAAAAATAGTAAAATGTGGCTGTGAATCAATTTCAATGAAATGGCCACCGTCAATGGATTTGCTCATGGGGGTGAAGTAAAGCAACAAGGATTAGTTGTTTGAAAGAAAGAAAGACAGAAAACTATGTCATCAGCTTTTAAAAGAAAAAATTTGAAACATTTGATAGTAATTTAAATTTTTGGACTTTTGGTTGGACAAAAGAAGCAATTTGAAGACATCATGTTGGGTATTCTTTGACATTTTGAAGACTAAAACGATTGATTAATCATGAAAATAATCTGCAATTAATAGACTACGAAAAAGAATCGTTAGTTGCAACCATAGGGTAAAGTAAATCCATGTTCCCATTTAGTTTAGCATTTACCTAATGCTATCATAGCTTGAGTTGCCAAGCCGCTTGAGGTGCTGGTTATCGTTGCGGAGCCACTGGCTCTGGAAGTGTTTTTCCCTGTTCTGTGTTATTTCAGATTTTTCTTAAACTGATATCCTTAATGCTACGTCACATACAAAAAAGGGAGTCTAAGGTAATGATCATATGGCTGTAAGTTTGTATTATCTCTACTTAGTTTCTCAGAAATAATGTTTTCATTTTGGCGTGGCGGATGGGTCGATACCCATGAGCCCCAGCCACCATTGTAGAGAAGAAGCCAGTCAGAGTTTTAAGCTTGGTGACTGGATTATTCATGATGAAATGCACCCTGGGAATTGTAGTTAATGTCTCCGCTTAAGTTTTATTTACACAGGCTTGCAGCGGTGTAACAAGTCAGCGCCGGGCCCTAATACAAGATGATCAAAGCGGGCCATCCTATCACAATCAGATGTAACATGATGTAATGTCAGTGGTGAATTAAAGAAATAGCATGCAGCTTTAAAACGACCAGTCACACTGAATGCACTGCACAGCTGACACCTAAATTAAATTAACACAGACAGCCATGCTATAGAGGATGAGCCATAATAGCAAGGCTAAAACAGTGATAGACTGGACTACTTAACTGGTGACAGCGCACCTTGACACATATGAAACATGATCCTATTAGTGAAGGTGCATAATGACAAGACACAACATATGAAAAATAATGACAGTGCACCAGTGACATTACTGACTAAATGTTTCATGTGTGCACATAGGCATTATAAACACAAAACACAACTGTGTAGATTGATTATTGTAGAACATAAATATACATACTATAGAGGTATGAGTCAATAAAGTGTTTGTATGTAGAAATGGTTCCATGATAATCAAATCAAATCAAGTTTATTTGTATAGCCCTTTACAATAGCCGAAAGGTACCCAAAGTGCTTTACAACAGAGCCATGAAACAGTACATAACACATATATAACATACAAATACAATTTAAAGTGCTGCAGCACTGCAGGGTATTAAAAGCCTTCCAGAAATGCACAGAAAGGAGCAGATATTGTTTTGTTATTGAATGTGAATGACTTCAAGTGGGAGACAGAGACATCATGGAAGCTCACTGATGACTATAAATATGTACAGCGGAAATATGTAAATTGATAGGCAGCATATGATGTCGGTTCAGCTCACATCAATCAAGATTATAGCAGCAGTGCAGATACGAGTGGTCCGTTACGGGCCCTGAACTGCTGCAGGCCCCTATGCAACTGCATCATCTGCATAACTGTTGAAGTATGTCACCAAGCCTTTATTCTGCAAGGATGAATTTGCTGCGCCACTTCCTGGTCCGACACCTTTATGCCATTAGACCACCAAAATATCTTACTGATATATTCATTTTCCACTACTTTTTTGTCTCACTAGGGCACTATGGGAAAGAAAACCTGCGCAGCGGAGGCCAAGACTTGCACAACTACATCTCCTCTGGGTTTGTGACACTCGGACGTGGCCACTTGAAAGGTAAAGTCCATCCTCATTATCCGTTTTTCACCTCACAGTATCCTGACAATAGAGTTCAGAATAATAATCGTTTCACTCACACAAGCTACTGTGTCACGCTGTCGTTCCCTTTCTGCCAATTGGGCGTGCAGTAAAAAACAAATCAAATAATGGGACTGTGATTTCTGTTATAGCTGAGTGGAAGTTGGACTTTACAATACATAATGGCTTGAAGTGACATCTTGCAAAGTCCACACACACATTTATTATCTCTATGACTAAATCCACACTTCCAATGACAAAGTAACACTTCCGCACTTGGTAGGCAGCCAGTGTGAGTGCAGCATGGCACAGTAGTAGATTTCCTCGCTATTGTCTTTCTTTGGAGTTTTAATACATCAGAAGCGGTGTTGGAGTGAGAATGAGCCGTAAACTAGGGGCCCTTTTGTTGTGTTTTTACAGCGCAGCACTCCATAGACGAATCGGGGCAGATGTCCTGGCAGGGCGATCTGGACATCCCCATCTCTTACGGTACGTTCTCCAAATGTTCTGCTTTATGCCGGAGAAAAAGAAGCCACACAACCTGCTTTCTGCTCACACCTGATAAGAAAAGTCACTCACGCTTCACACACGCGCGCGCGCACACACACACACACACACACACACACACACACACACACACACACCAGTCGAGTGCCCTTGGCTGATAATCACAGCGCAGTCACTGGGTGCAGAGTGCCAGAGTTGTAATATTTGATTTTTTTTCAGTAGATGGTTTCGTGAGCCAAAATATTTCCACTGGTGGTTGTTTGACTGCAGGTTTGAGTAAATGTGATGGCCAAACAGTCAGACAGGTGAGGGTGTCGCTGTCAGTAACAGTCTAGAGCTTCTTAGGTGTCTTTGAGGTAAGTGAAGGTTTGAATTAGACGTTCAAATTGATCTGACGGGGACTGAGCATCTAATCTTATTTTTTATTCATTTAAAAAGGGTTTAACTCTGTATTTTGCATCTCAGAGTGTGAGTTTGATGATATTTCAGCTTATATACAGTGCCTGAATTGAACCAAAAAAAAGATGCCAGTACCTTAATTCAGCACAACCCTAACTCTAAACACAACATAAACCTAATTCTTTTGGCGTGTTTACACGGAAACACTGTTACACAGCTGTTTAGGAGTACCTCACTAGCATTGCTGTAGGCAGGGTTTAAGAAATACACAGATCCAAACACTGAACTTGCTCGGGGGGGTTTGGGGCATCAAAGTAGTTATTTTTAAGTAATAATCTCACGATTTTTATTGTATACCCCTCGGAAAAAATATTTATGACCATACCTTGGTGATCTCAGTGGTGGGTAAGCCCATGCTCAACAGAGGTGGCGGTACTCAGTAAGAAGTAAGGGTGGACAAAAATCTGAAGTCAGACACTACTCATATAGCTTCTGCTGCTCATGCTCACCACTAAACTATATTGTTTGTTGCAAAGATCTTCGCTAGGTTGCAGTTTTTAGGATTTTATTGAATCGAGATTAAAACCTTATTTTAAGTCACAGCTATAACAGTTATCAGCTTAAATTGGCGACATTGAACGTTTTTGATGATTGATCTGATCACTCTGTGGTCCTTGTACAACTACAAACTACACCCCACATCCACTTGCAATTAAAGAGAAAAAGCCACTTGATATTTGGTTCTGGTTGAGCTGGTTCTGACTTCCCTCCAGGATTCTTATTTTGAAGTGTATCCATTATTTTGGCCCCCATGAAAACATCTAGTTTCTTCCACAAAAGTTACTGTACCATTGCTGCTGTAAGTGACATAACTACCCAGAGAATGCTCAGCGAAAAGGTGTTCCTCCTTGGGAAATCGTTGCTGCAGAAGGTGTATTTTATTGAGCCGATGACTGTAACCCAGCTTTGTGATATAGAGTGACGGTTGCTTCGAGTAGAGGTTTTGCAGTAGAAATGGATTTGCTAGATCACAGAATATTTCTGGTGTTACTGAAAAAGGAAGCGATTTCTGAGCCTCTCTTCTACTTGCTTTTCTCTATACTATCAGCAGTCTCTACCTACCGCCACCCAAAAATCTCTTTAAAAAGGTGTGTTCTCTATTTATTATTTATTATGAAATTACAGTATTTAGATACATATAACCATTCAACAGCATTTTAGTTTCTATTCCCCCCAATATGCTGGAAAGTTTAATAAAGGATGTGTTGCAAGAAAAAGCTGAATGTATAAGCAGCTTTATACGGTTTTCTGTGTTTGTTATCTCAAGAATTTAAGCGGTCCTATGAGACTTTTAGGAAGACAGGTGTCCTCAGATTTGCCTCACTGAAAGTACCCACTTTGCTTCTGGTGATGATGACATTCAGTGTTGACAGATTACCCTGAAACCAAGTGACACACTGGAGAAGGCGTAACTGAAGCTTCTGTATATTTTATTCCCCTGTGCTGAACAATGAAACTGAAACTAAACAAAATTTACCATTTGGAAAGGCAGCAAGGAAACTTTGAATTATGTTATTTTTCTCCCTCCAGTGTGAAATACACAAACACACACCACTAACTTTTGACACAACAGCTGGAGGCAAATACTCAACAGCAGGTCTGAATACAGCACCAACACCTTTCATGAACTGTAGGACGAGTAACTCTTGTTTTATTTCACTTGGCAATGCAGTGAAGAGGATTTGTATAACTTTACATTTGGGTTATAACTCTATTTGTAACTACTACTGCGAAAAAAAAATACCCAGTAAAAAGTACTTAATCAGAAATGTTTCTGTAACTTACAAAACTAAGCTAGTGTCACTTAAACTTACAAAATTGAGTTAGTGGTGCTTTATATTGTCAGTGCAATCAGTTTTAATATTTTTTTAGTTAAAATAACTTATTGTATTAGAGTGTAACAAAGTCTATGTTTTGGTTATATTATGTATTAATAAATGAATCGGCAATGTAGTGGAATTAAAGGTACAATATTTCACTATATGGTGGAGTAGCAGTGGAAAGTAGCATAAAATAAGTCCAATTCGGAGGTACTACTGAATATTTCTAAGTACAGCACTTGAGTATTTGTACTAGATGGGTGTTTAAGCATCTCCAGCCAAACACTAATATTTTAAAAAGGTGTCTGAGGCAGCGACCCTCCCCTTACTGTACCCGTCACCCTCTCCCTGCACCTATTAGGTGACACACTTTAGCGTCCTGATGGCGGTAGCTGTCACTTCAAAGCGGAGGTCCTGTCAGCCTCCGTCGTACATGTCTTCGTTTAACAGCTGGCTGTCGGCTGACTGTCGGCAGGCTCTCTACCCCCCCCCCCCCCCCGACCTCCTGTCAGGAGGAAGCAGACTGACAGATGTGCACCGTGTCACCGCTGACTGCATTCTGCCCCTGCTGCTGTACAAACACCTCATATCTCATTTCTGTAGTGGATAGTATCGAGCGCTAACATATCTGCACAGGTCATCTGACTCCCCTGCCCACTGGGCTCATAACTCTGCCTTTATGTGAAGAGGAGGTACGTTTACTCGAGGGCTGTACTGCAGTTATACTGTTTTGAGGCACTTTTACTTTATTTGAGTATTTTCATTATGAGGGAAATGTTGTTTGTACCACACTTCTCTAAAACCATAATATAATGTTCTTTTTCTCACATTTCTTTCCTCCTCATTTCATTCTTACGTCTTTTATTTATTTCCTTCTGTTCTTTTAGTCCTTCCTTCTTTATATGTTTTTGTTTCATCTCTTCCTTCCTTCCATTTTCTTTCGTTCTGCTACCTTCCTTGCTCTCTTTTCTTCTTTGCTTTCCGTCTTTCACTACTTTCTTTCCTTTTCATTGTTTTCCTCCTGTCCTTTCATTTCCTTTTCAATTTCTCTTCTCTTTACCCTCCCTTCTTTGTTCTTCCTTACATCCTGTCCTTATTTATTCTATGCCTTCTTATCTCTTTCTTTTCTTTCTTCTTTTCTTCTATCCTCCCTTCTTTTAATCCCTCCTCCCTCCATTCCTTCTATCTGTCCCTCCTGCTTTCCTATCTTCATTCTTCTTTCCCTAACCTGGAGATACAAGGTTTTGTCACCCATCAGCACAACCAGACTTCAGTCTTAGTAAAATGGAGCTCCTGTACCAAGCGTAAAAGAGCTGATTATTGATATTTGCTGATTAAATATTGGAATTCACTACTTGAATTTGTAACAGAGGGATTTTATATAGCGGTACATTTACTTACCGCCTGTTCTGGCTGCTTATATTTGCATATCAAACGTTGGACACTTCTGACAAACACAATATTACAATAATTCCTCCACAATCCACTGTTTTCTAAGACAAACCACGTCTGAGCATGAACTCAGCTGTGTGTGTAACATTTCATTGTTTGCGTGGGCGCGTCGTAGTGAGAGGAACAGTACAAACAGTACAGATTTGAATGTACGTCAGGGCTAACAAAGCTCCAAGTAATGTTGTCATTAATATTCATGCATCCGTGATGTAACACGGCACTCCATGGATCCAAACAAGCGCCGCCGGTCTACCTGCTCGAGTGTTTGACTCATGTGGTAAAGCGCCTGTGTGAGGCCGCTGCAGAGGCTATGAGAGATGGATTTATGTCTGATAGTGGTGCGTTCACTTGCCCCCGTCCGTCCATCTCTAGTCCCACTGATGGATTGTCTGTAGCTATGGGGCCATTTAACAGCTCTGAACCACAGTGAGTTTATTCTGATGGAAGGCAAGCAGAGTACATTTTCAAACTGAATGAGAGACGTTGATTAGAAGTGGTTGAGATTTGGCAAGAAAGGAAGAAAAACCGCTGCATGTTGGACAGTTTTCTCTTCTTAAGGGATAAGGTTGGCCTCATTCTATATGTTTTCCTATTCGCAACAAATGCCATTACATAAGTCCAAAACCAACAATGTGTAGTCCAACTCTCAGCACTTCCTGACTTCCCTATTCTATCTTTGCCACTCCAGCCAAGAATTAAATCTTTAGGAACAGCTCACAAATATATATATATATATTTTTTTTTTTTTTAAAGGATCAGTCATTTCCTAAGACAACTGATCACTGTAGTTTTTTGCAAACGTTATTAAAATGTGAGAAAATAGTGCATTTGTTGGATGAATACAGACGATGTCAGTGAAAAATACATAAACCACAGTGGCTGTATGTAATATTAGTGGTAGTACAAATACTCAACTTGGATTTCAGTACTACATCTACAGCTGTATTCATTTTGTGCACCATAAAACGACACTTACACAATGCATGTTAATATTTTCCTAGCAAGTGATCTCCTGGGGTATTCTAGTCTTGTCTTCTTTCCAAAGCAAAGAAGGAAATGGAGCACAGAGGTTGGATATACTCCAAAACTGACAGAGGCAGATGTGCTTATGCATGTTTATCAATCGATTATAACCTGACTGCACCTCATTGCGGTGCTCTCAAAAGTTGAATGTTTGATGGTTTTGGGATTGACGGTGTCTGACTTTGACAATAAGCCTTTTAACAGTCACTGTTGGTAAAGATTAGGAAA